CATAGTATTACCTAGTGATTTTTATAATAACACAACTTTGAAAACATTGTAGGACTTGAGAGCTGTTAATAATTAATACTGGTATGGATATCTTTTACATCTTGTCATCTTCAGAGTAGTTGCCTCTACTTTTAGGGTTGATACGATCAAGCATATCAAATTCAAATAAAATCAGCCAAGGCAAAACCACGGTCTTATGAATGGGATTCAAATAAGATCAGTCATAGTAAGACAGTATAAGTACTACAGGATTTCAGCTTAAGTTAATAGGAAATTAAGGATAGTTACTATGGTACAACCTGTTATGTTTGGGTCAGATGTCTGTGACCTCAAATCCAATATGAGTGAGCAGACCAGAACAAATTAAATTCAAACTAAACGGGGCGATAAGACTACTGTGACTTTTAAATCCTGATACACTATTAACAATGACCTCTGCCTTTTTTTGTAGTGTATCAAAGCTATCTACACTAAAGCCTATAGCTTACCATCTCTGCCTCATGTCTACTACTCCACTTTACTGCTATAATTTGTCCACCTTACTCCCTCTTTCCACTGTCTGCTCCATTCATTGAGGCCTCTCTGCCACTGTTGCTTGAATGCTGGTATCCCTTCTTCTCTTTCTCTGGAATGACCTTCAGCACTCTCTGTAGGATTGGGTTGGTGGCCGCAAACTCCCAAAGTTCCTCCTTGTCTTGGAAGCATCTTATTTCTCCATTAATTTTGAGAGAGAGTTTTGATGGGTATATGAGTCTACTTGGAATATTCCCCATTCCCTTCTTGATTTAAGAGTTAATGTTGATAAGTCTGTTGTTATTTTGATAATTTTCCCGTTGTAGATAATCTGCTTTTTTTCTCTGGCTGCTTTTAATATTCTGTTCTTTTGGTGGATTTCTGGAATCTTTATTATTATATGTCTGGGTGTAGATCTGTTTTGGTTGTAGGTAGCTGGTGTTCTGTATGCCTCTTTTATCTGGATATCATTTCTTTTTGCTATACATGGGAAATTTTGCTTTAATATATCTGTGAATATTCTTTGTATTTCATTTTTGGTTGCTCCTGCTTCCTCACTCACATTCTTTATTCTTAAGTTATGTATTCTTTGGTCATCTTCTAGCCTTTGAATTGTTTCTTTCTGGTTCCTTGTTATTTTTAAGAGATCTTTTCTTTCACGATCATACATGTTAAATCTCTCTTCAAGTTTCAAAAGGCTGACTTTAGTTTCTGTCAAGGCATTTTGCCAGTGTTCAATGGAGTTTTTAGTTTCCTGGTAATCTCTTTGGATCTGTTTCATGTATTCTAAGTTATGTTTAAACTCTTCTTCAGAAGTACCTCTTTCTTTTCTGATTTCCTTAGTTCTTCCATCTGTTTTCTCTTGGGAGGGGCTTGTCATTTCTTTAATTAATCTCTTTATATCTTGCCTCACTTGGGTCAGGAGTACTGCTTTAAATTCATCTATGAGGTCATGGAGGTATTTTTTTATTTCGGCTGATGCTGTGCCCAGTATTGGATGGTTACTGTGCTTGTTCTCTTCAGTGTTTACTTCTCCTGGGCTTATTTTCTCATGTTGGGCAGCTAGAGATTTTTTTATTTCTATCTCTTGTCATGTTTCTGGTTTCTTTCAGACTGGAGTGTTCTGGGGGTGTGTGGCCCTCTCCGTATTGCTTAGGGCCTTTCAGGAGTGTGTTGACTTGAGTTTTTGCTGTCCTCCCCAATTTTCTGTTATCTGGGGTAGGCAGGGATGCAGGGACGGTGCAGGCTAGCCTCCAGCCTCTGTGCCAGTCAATCTGCAAATTAGGCTGTACTTTGTGGTGTCACTATTGTGACTATTTTGTATCTGCTTATTGGGTCCCAACCAGAGGCTTGGTTCAGCCCCAGCATATCCTGCCAGTTCTCTCTGTGCCAGAAGCAGCTGTCTAATGTCACTGTGGCACAGGACTCTGCCCAAATCCCAGCTGTCCTCTTCCAGACCTCTCTGTGCCAGGATTGACTATGTAATGTCCCTGCAGCTGCGGGTCTGCCCAATTCCAAGATGTCCTCCACCAGTTCTCTCTATGTTGCTGATGCCAATGTGGCACCGGGCTCTGCCCACTTTAAGATGTCCTCCACCAGACCTCTCTATGTCAGGGGTGACTGTCTGATGTCACTGAGCCGCGTGCTCTGCCCAACTCCAAGATGTCTTCCACCAGACTCTCTGTGTTATTGATGTTGCTGTGGTGGCAGGCTCTGCCCAATTTCAAGAGTCTTCCAGCCAGCCACAGCAGCCACAGGACCCAGTCCCCAGTACTCACCAGGACACAGTGCAGGTCTTCCTTTTGAGTCTAATGCACACTACGCCGTTTGCCTTCACTGTGTTCCCAACACAGCATCGGATTGGTCAGAAAACTGCATGGTGCCCGGCTTCGGAACTCCAGAGCTTCTCACAATCTCCTCCGGCGCAGTGGGGCAGCCCTAGATGCTTCGCGGGGTATTTCCAGCAGTCACCAAAAGCCAATACAGCTTTTCCTCTTGGGTCCACTGGTTAGTTTGCTGCATTAAAGATGCGGGATTTGCAGACTCCCGTTATCAGCCATTGCATTCTCAGCACGACCTTAAATCCTCCAGCTGTGCTGTCTTGGTTAAAAAGAATCGTTATCCATTCATCTGGCCCTCTCCATGTTGTCATATTCTAGCATCTAATATAATTTCTCCGGAGAGACTCTCCGCCCAATCCCCTAGCAAGCCGCCATTTTTGAAACTCTTTTTTTTATTTTAAAGAAAATAAAGCCAAACAAGATAAAACAGAATAGAGCCAATCGAAACAAAACAGTGAATACACTACAGGACTCCAAAACAAGATAATAGGAAATCAATAGTGGCTAACATAATGCCTCCCGTTGTCTTCAATATAGCTGCCCATATCTTCAGGTATAATAAAATCAAACAAAACAAAACAGAACAATGAAAACAATGCAGGGCTTCAAAACAATTCAATAAGATATTAACTATGGCTACTACCTTCCCTTTTTAGATGTTTTCTCCCCTTTCACTTTCACAATATCTATTGTGTGTTTTGGATCCCACTAACTCATTCAGTTTTTTATACTAGAGAGACAACACAATGTTCATCCATGTGGGTCTGAGCCATTTTATCCAAAGGCATGATCTCAAATTGCATCCATTTACCTACAGGAGTCTTGTGATGGTCTTTCTTTATAGCTGAGTAGCTTTCCATTGTATAGAAATGTCATATCTTTCTTACCCATTCTGCTTTGACAGGCAAGCTTTTTTTTCTGGTTCCCTGTCACATGGAGCATTGTTTTCTCTTCTTTGACTTTCAGTTTATGAATTTCCTTTTGAGTTCTGTGTTTCTTGTATATTTCATATTGATGGATATTGCTTTTTAATTTATTGATTTCTTTTTATTTTTTATTTTAAAGGGGGTAAAACAGAATAGTAAAAAGAAACAAAACAGGTGATAGGACAGTAGGAAATCCACAATCATTACTATACTACATATTGTTATCCTCTAAGTAATTGCCCAGACTACTGTCCCCAAACCTGCAAAGTCAGGTTACTTCCCTACTTCAGTTACGATCTCAGGTTGTGTCATGTCTGGTTGCTTATGGGGGTGGGGAGGAGGTGGACGTGGCATCCTTACTAGTTCTCCCTGGCTGGCAGGGCTTCCACCAGCACACAGAATCCTGCCCCAAAGTCATCCTGGGAGGCCAGCTGAAATCGATCAGGGTGCTTTGCCACCTGAAGCTTGATCATCAAGGTGAGAAGGCACAGGGCCTCCTCAGACAAGGACCTTTACCATGAGGGATCTCACTGGAACATCCAAATGTTGTGTCAGATTGCGAGAGACACTCATGGAGGCTGTGAAAAGATTTATCAGCCAGTGGACAGCAGTAAGCAAGGCATCAACACTGAGGCAACATTTACCAAGTTCCTAAGTAATCATAGCAACCACATTATTTCACTTGAAATTCTATAAGAATGTCACAAGATTCCTTTTCAAACATTCGGTTTTGTTTGTGAAACAGGATGTAGACAATGGTCAGCATGTCCATTGTTTGCTGTAATGTTCCTTGCTTGTGGGTTTTATGGCTAACTGGAAGGAGAATTAGAGGGTGAGTTCATCTAGAGGAGTCCTAAAACAAAATGAGTTACTTTTGCCATGTCACTACATTCGTCTTTCTAATTGCTCTGTCTGGTTTAACTGTAGAGGCACGAGCTGCCTTTAGTAAGATTCTCCATTAATTTTTTTCTGTATTAATTTTTATTAAAGCTTGAATGAAGCTTTTATCTTATTATTTCTTTGCCTAGGAGCTTCCTTTCCCTACATTGGGGTAAGTTGTTTTTAATTTGTGAAATCTTCGCAAATTAAATAGGTTCTGGCACTACATACCTTCTGTTAGAAGCAGTGCTGAGCCCCAAATGCGCCATGACTGGAGCAGAGTCCCAGTGTTACTGAATCATACCCAGGACATAGCAAGCAATTTTGTAAAGAGCTCACAAAATACATGACAGGCTAAATTCCTCCCAAGCAGCATTTGGAATTGAGAATAGATGCTGTTGCAGATCCTTCCTCTGCTCCACTTTCCTTTCCTCTCTAACCAGAGACCCAGGCTACCTGGAACAGTTTCCTCCCTGGGACAGAATGCAAGCAATACCTTCTGGACTCCTACTGCCTTGCTTTATGTCTTGTATATAAATACTACTTCTCAGAAGTTGGTATGAAACACTAATTCAGCCCTGAGCTTCATCCAAACTTCAATTTCAAATAAAATTAAGTGCCAAATTGAATTATGTAAGCCCTGAATACAATGTCATATTACAGTGAAAGTCATCAGGCTCCCCAAACAGGCCCCATTGCAGCTATGTCCCTCCCATAATGTTGCTGGTATGGCTGAGGGAGGACACAGGGGCTGAGCTGCTACCTAGGTCTCCAGACTCCACCCTCAGGGGAGTAGGGATGGGCTTAGTGGGAGTGGCCTTGTTTGCTTAAAGTTCTACTTGCAATTTGAAATTCAGCGAATGCTGCTTACTCTTCACAACAATCTGCCAAATTATAAATCAGGAAGCTGAGAGACACACTGCTGTGGAGGGTAATCGCTAAGAAGCAACCCTTCCAGACCCAAGCTGCTCTCTTCTCACCACAAACCACACTGCTGAAGCCTTCTAGGCTCCCAGGAGGTACACCCACTGAGACAGATGATGCCCAAGGAGGAGCATGAGGTGGCTACGCTGGGGGGACCCCATCGCTCAGCTCCTGAGACTACCACTGTGATCAACATCCACAGCGACACTGCTGTGCCTGACCATGTGGTCTGGTCCCTCTTCAACACAATCTTCATGAACATATGCTGCCTGGGCTTCATAGCCTTTGCCTTCTCCATAAAGGTGAGTGTCCTGGGTGTGATGCTCTGGGAAGGAGCTGTAAGCCTCAGATTTACCCATCTGAACAAAATCTCTCTCTGACTCTCTGTCTCTCTCTCTTTGTGTGTGTATTTGCAAAACCTGTGTGGGAACTGAGCTGTGTGTGGTATGCAGCATGAGTGTGTGTTGAGAAATTTCCAGGGCAAGCACAAGGTAGGCTCTTGGGCATTCTGGAGTCCCATTTGTTCCCCTCCTACCCAGAGGAATTCTCCCCACTGTCCATACCAGAAACACCCCATGTCCGGGAGCTGGGGACTTTACCCTTGGCCTAAGCGGCCAGCACTGGAGCCACCTACAGTTAGAGTGTAAGAGGGATGTCCCTCATCTGAGTGAGGGCAGTGGGACCCTGGCTGGACAGGGTGAGACCGGGGCCCCCAAATCAGTGCTCTGGGCTCTGCCCTGTCAGTTAGGGAGGGTCCTCACTTTCTGGTCTCCCCCAGTCTAGGGACAGGAAGATGGTGCATGACATGATCGGGGCCCAGAGCTACGCCTCCACTGCCAAGTGCCTGAACATCAGCACCCTGGTCTTGAGCATCGCCACGATCATTATCTTCATCATATTGTATGCTACCACCGCCATAGCAATCACCCGAAACTTGTATTAGTTGAAAACAGATTCTCAGGGTTACTAGTTCTGTTGTGTTTTCCCCTTCAGAGCTGCCCTGATCCTGGGCTAGGGCCTGCCCTGTGCCCCACTCTGTGACCAACATCCACAATTGGAATCAATAAAGTGTATATGTTCCTATTATGTTCTGATGTCTCTTGGGGGAAGGGTATTGCTCGCTGTTCCCATCTTGGTCCTGAGATGAGCCCACCCTCTGTGCAGTGTCTCTGTGGCGACCAGGGAGGGTCTTTAGGTCAGAGGTCTCTGGGTACCTGCTGTGGGGAGGCAGCATACCAGTCCTGACGGGTCACCTCTCCACTTTTCCTGACTCTAGGGCACACTGTAAACAGAATTGCTTGATTCCAGACCAACCCTGTACACTCTGGCCTTGAGGATCTACTGTGGCTTTTGTATCCCTGGGATAAGTGCTTGAGCTGAACCCTACCTTTCCAGTCCATCCAGCTCTCATTCTATCCTAGCTACTGCCTCATTCTGTGCATTCAACTTTCAACTCTCCTTAGGTGTGGCAGGTGTAGCCATAATTTTCTGAGAGAGATCAGAAGACACAATTCAGACTTGGTTGATGATCTCTTGGCTTTGGGACAGAGTGAAGTCTGAATCCCTGGTGCTGACTTTCCTAGGGAAGGAGCCGTTCTGTGAAGGTTGAAGAATGCTTCTGCCCCTGGCTAGATGGGCTGGGTCAATCAGGGGCTCCTCAAACCTGGCACCTCAAGTCAGGAGCTCCACCAGGAGTCTCCTGCTCTGCCCTAGACACACCATAAAACTCACCAAGTCTCCTGCCACTTTGGGCCCCGGGGGGTCTTAATTCTGTGGGTTTGTGGACAGTGTGGTGTCTCTGAGCAGACAGTGAATGTGCAGGGGTCAAGTTGTCTCTGGTATCCTTGGGAAGTGAGAAGGGAGGTGCCTTGGAGGAACCTAGGAGAGGAAGCTAAGAAGAGGCTACACACTAAAGGCAGGAACCCAGTACAATGAGAGCTGTCAGATGGAGCCTGGACCCATACACGTACTGCAAGATTGTGGCACCATAGTCCCAACTGAGAGGCCGCCATTCCTGGAGGCAGGAAGCAATCTGTGGCCACATCCAGTTGAAATTCTGAGGCCTGGGGGATCAGAAGGAGATGTTTTTTGGAAGGTATTTTTGGTGCTGACTATTCTGTAAGGCTTGATTTGAACATGACTTTCCTAATACCCAACCTGTCTGCCAGCAGAGGCATTTACTCAGCTCAACACTGGTGCCCTCAGAAAATACTGCATGTTATAAAGAAGACAAGATGGAACACAGACTCCTCCAAGCACTGGGACACCTGAAGACACCCCAAATGTTTACACTAGATGTCTCAAGGACTTTTTCCACTGAGGCACAAGACATCTGGAGAACTCTGACCACTTCTGTTTATTAAGATTTTCCCACTCAATATCCCTTGCCTATAAAAAAAGTCTACTTCTCAGGGCTGGGGATTTAGCTCAGCAGCATAAGCACCTGCCTTGCAAGCAGGCAGTCGTGAGTTCAATCCCCGGTACCGATAAAAAGGAAAAAGACCAAAAAAGAAAAAAAAAGTCTACTGGTCTTTTTCCTTTTTATCAGTACCGGGGATCGAAGTCACAACTGCCTGCTTGCAAGGCAGGTGCTTACACTGCTGAGCTAAATACCCAGCCCCCAAGTCTACTTCTCTTTGTTGCCGATTAGAAAACCTTTTCATCTTTGTTGTACTCTAAGAAAATAGCTTCGTTATATGTGTATTATAACAAAACCTGTAACATGGCTTATGTATGTGTTTTCCTTTTCCCTTTGGATGACCTAATTTATATGTTAATCAATGCTCTTCTCTGTAAAGAATTGTAAAACCTTACCTAATTGATATGTTAACCATTGTTGCCCTCTACAAACAACAGAAGTAGTGCTAAAACAAGCTAACAAGGGTTGTTAATCACTGTTAGGCACCTCTATTCTCTGCTAAAGAGCTAAAGAAAACTAGGATGGCCCTCTAATTTACACTTGTTTGAAGTAACTTGCTTGTGTGCAGGGAGATTTGCTTATTAGCATAATCCTTACCGGACCTTGATCCCCCTCCCCAGAAAGAAAAAAAAACATAACCTCCGTTTTCTGTTCTGTATGGCACCTTATTGCCTCCCCTCTCCCCTTACCTATCTATCTAGGCTAGGCCATAAAGATTTTGGGTTTCTGGTGACCTCTTCCCAACCTGGTGGTGGTCTGTCATAAAATGTGCCTTAGCTTCAAAGAAATTACAGGAAAATGTTGTGGCTTAACCCTAATGCACCAAAAGGGTTAAGTTCCAAATCCTTGTGAAGGCTTAAGTTTCAGCTTCTTGTAACTTTCGACCCCTTCCCACCTGTTAGTGTTAAGGAGCTGTCCTGAGATAATTAGCTTTCTACTTTCTTCTCCAAATGTTATTACAGATAATTCTTATCTGCAAGATGGGAGTAACTCAAAAGGCGCCAAAGGCTATCGATGTTGTCAGAACTAAGTGGACAGCTGTACAATTTCCAGATTGGGGTCAACAAGTTTGATGGCTCTGCAGGTTTCTTTGTTTCTCCCCTCCTTTTCCTCCAGCCTCTTTTTAAAGTCCTCCCTTCAGTCTCTGGGATGCAGTCTCCAAATTGGCTCCCAGAGACTCGTCACCAGGCCTGGAAATAAAGCCTTTGCTTCCCAAATTTCAGTCTCTTGCTTCCTTGGATTTTATACCAGGGTCTGAGTTATTACAGTTAGTGCCTCACACATTTATTTGCATTTTCTTCTTCTTTTTTTTATTTAAAGAAAGACTACACAAAACATAAAATGGGTAGAAATAACACAAACTTTCAAAGAAAAAATAAACAGTAAGAAATCACTAGTTGATGATTACATATTGTCCTATTACAAATAGTTGTTCAAGATACAAAAGTGAAACATATAAAGTGGGGATTGAAACAGTGAGATTATAAACAGTTCTGTTCAACTATCCATCAAAAACTTAGTAATATGGTTATCAATCCTACACACTTAAACATACATGCAGTTATCCATATTTGTTCATTTCATCATGTATCAGATGATCGGTTCTCATAAACAGTTTATAGGTTCTACGCATACACGAGTCTTAACATGTATTTCTATCCTTTCTATATTAGAGGGAGAAACAAAACAAAGCAAGAAAAAAACAAAACATTCCTATAGACACATGAAATGAAAAAGACATATAAAACTGCTGTACAAGGAGTTCTACCATGGTTACTGTGTTGTCTCTTGTTACCTTTAAAAGAATGGGCTATATCATCAGACATAGTATATTTGAAAATAGCAATACATAACAATATAAAAACACAACTTTGTAGATAGTATAAAACTTCAAAAACAGGTAGTAATCAAACCAGAATGGGCATTGTAGTGAATCTTGTCATCTTCAGTGTAGTTGCCTATACTCTCAGACTTGGTACTATCAATCATAACAGTTTTGAATAAAATCTGTTGATACCAAACAGCAATCAAACAAACCAGATTTAATTAAGATCACTCATGATAAAACAGTATAAATTATACAGGGTTCTAGATTAAGTTAATAGGAAATTAAAGATGATTATTGTACTATATCCTGCTATTTTGGGGATAGGTGTCTGCACCCTCAGATCTAGTGCAAGTAGACAAACTGGGAGAGAATAAAATCTAAGCAGAGTAGTGTGAGTAATATGGGTTTTAAATCCTGATATACTATTAACAATATCTTCTGCCATCTTTTTAAAAACTATTCCTCCCCTTTCACTCCCCCAGGGTGCACTGTGCATTTTTGGGTCTTGCAACACCCTTGATTTTTAGATTAGGGGAGCAAACTGCTATTTACCTAAGTGGTTTCGAACCTTTTCCCTCCTGGACTTGCTCTCTAGTTGTACTCCTTTGCCTATTAAAGCCTGTCTTGCCACTCTGTCCACAAACACTGGTCTAGTTGCCCCTATTTCTCTCTGCTTACCTGTCACATAGTGTCGATGTCCGCTCCCGGCCGGCAGGAAGGACACACGACATAGTCTGGTAGTGGACAACCTTTTCTTTTTATTCTTCTTTCTCCGTACAGCCTGCCCTGGGTTCTCCCAGCTGAAGCCTCCTTTGGTCCGCTCTCCGCGGCTCCTCTTGTGCTTCAGTCTGCCCCGAAGCCTCTATCGGTCCGCTCTCCGCAGCTCCTTCTGGGCTTCTACTTCCGGGCTTCTACCTGGCTTCTTCTTCCGCCCAGGGGTGGCACCGGTATATATACGGGTACAGTGTCCAATCATGTTAAAGTAAGCAAGGCAAGCTGATTGGCTAACATCATCAGTTGCCAGGCAGACTATATTGTTGAGCGGGTTGTTTACGCGGTAAGCAGGAAACTAACATATTCGATGGGAGGGGTAATCTACCTCAGGCCTCACTCTTTACTACAGGCCTCACGTCCGCCAAGTGAGGCGACCGGGCTCGGGGCTGCGGCTCCCAACATCTCCCCCTTTTTTATTTTTTATGAATGTGCGCATCGTAGCCCTTCCTGGACTGGGTGCAGAGGCTTATGCCCTATGCGTAGGCCCACCGTAGGTCCTTGGCTTAGACCCTGGTCGGCCGTCCCATGGTCTGCCAAGGCCCTGAGGCCCTCGTCCTTTTTCTAGGGCCAGGCACAAACTGGACGGAACCTGGATGCACACAAGCTTGCACTCATTTCCTCTCCGTAAAGAAATCCCCTCGGAGAGAAATTTAGACCTGGGCAGCATCTAACAGTCCAGCGGCTTACGTGCAGGATGGGGTAGGGCCTGGCTTAGGTCGAGTCATGCTGGGGAGGCACGCTCTTACCCGTCATTGACTCATCTACCCTGCTGTGTATTGTCACCTTATGGAGGAGAATGAAGGATGCCCGCCATATCTAGACTCGGTCGTGGGCCAATCGAGCAAGCCATGCATATGCCTGAGGATCTTTTTGTCCATTTCGGGCTACCGCTATTTCTATTCATCTTGTTGGTTGGTCTGTGATGGATCTCCAGTAGGGCAGGTCTGATCTTCAGTCGAGGGCTTTGTTGCCCGTGTCAGTCTCTCCGGTATCCACAGTGGTTCTCGTCCCGGTTCCTGTGGGAAAACACAAATCGCGCCTCGGTTCCAGCTGACCACTGGATCC